GGGGAAATGCCTACAGTCAGCATGCGCAAAACTGTAATACTCCTGGTGGGTTCGCAGTACAGACTTCAGGGGAAACCATGAAAAAAAACTCGCCATGCTTCTACCTCAATGGTGGCGTGGAAACGAATGCATTTTTATTATCGTTATTATATTATATATATATATAAAATATATAATATTATCGTAATTTTGTATGGTGAACGTTAAGATTCGTATATACCGCAAGTGCGATTGGCTATATAGTATATATATATAACCATCTTGTAGATAGTTTTGTCCTCTACAGTTTTTGTTTGAAACTTTTTTTTGTATATCCAGTATAAAGCGAGATATTAACACAAAGGCTATTTGTTTTTTTGCGAAAAATTCATATTTTATTAAAAGTGTACATTTTGTTGGCCTTACAATGTAAAAACTATAACTTTTACGTGAATATATCATAAGACTTTTTTTGTAGATGATTACTTCCTCTGCAATTTGTAACCATAACATTTTATCGTACGAACCATAAAAAGAGAGATATTAAAAAAAAGGCCAATTTCGTGATCTTTGACCTCGAATAACATTTAACGGGTACGTGATATCAACGGAGACGTTTTACACGTTGTTTACGTTAGTGTGTACCAAAATTCAGCAAGGTGGGAATTTTTCCGAGCTGAAAACCTAATTTGACTGGACTATTATAGGTTTGTATTAAATAAACAAATCATTCTTTACATCGATAAAATAATCTCATTTTACAAATATAGTACACTTAACACATATGATACTACAATTAAATTTAACAAACGATTCACACAAATCAAAAAATAACCTTAAAGTTAGGTAGTTAATAGGCATATTTTATGCATGCTAATAATACATTTATTTTAACGAAATAAAAACACTGTCCAATCAAGAGTGTAATGTTATTTCTATATACAAATACAGTAAGCTTATAGATACAAGTATAATTTATAAGTTATAATTATTTTTATAATGTACAATTTTATTATTAATTATCAACACCTATTGGCTATTGGCGTTACAAGTTTACTGTTTATCTAATACTAAACTTATCTAAATTAAAAAAATAACAATGAATATGTGATTATGCATTTTCTTTATCATTATTAAAATTTTATAAAATTATAATTACATTCTGTTGCAAATAGTAATGTGATGGGTAAAGAAAATATGAATAATAACTTTAATCAGTGTTATTAAACCAAATATTAATAATATTGGCTACATTAATCAAAGAAAAATAATCAATAATTCAATTAATTAATTAATAAAAAAAAAAAAATATTTTTATTAATATTTATAAATAGGTATTGCATTGTTAAATTCAAGAACATAAATGGTATTTAAATTAAAATATATTTAAGTATTAGTCACTAGATGAATTTAAAAAATATTTTGTACAGTACTTTAGCGTCAATGAATCGTGTTCAAGAAAATAAAGTTGCTAGTTGAAGGATTAAAATGACGTTTGTAAAGACTTTGTCCTAAAGTCTGACATATATATGTTCAAAATATATTTAAATGATTGTTAACTTGTAAATCCGAATAATTCATGTACATAAGCACTAAAGATTTTTAAGGGGTTCCAGTATAATAAAGATTAATAAAATATTATTAATACATATACTAATAGGAAAAAATTAACCAGAAATGGACTATCCGACGGCAGATATAGCTTACCATAGTTATATACATTTATCTATATTCGATTAAATTTTTATTATAAATAAAAATGGCTTTGCACCTGAATGATTTATTCCGGTATCTGGTTTTGGGTGTTCAAACACCAGAATAAAAATATATAATAACCGTTATTATTCAGGTTAATATTAGTTAATACGGGTGTTTAGTAGTTAAAAAAAACATCATTTTTTATAGTTGTTTTTATTAGATATATTTTTTAAATTTTTAATTGTCTAAATATTGTTATAACTTATAATTAAGCAAATAATTATCTAAAAAATTGAACTCGCCACATACAATATAATTTACAAATTTAAATGTCACATGAAGATTGTAAAATAAAAGATTATTCGGGTTTCGGTTAATTTGAGTGTTTTGAAAATAGAATCATTTGGGTTATATGGGTTTTGAGTGTTTGATTTGTTAAGGGTGTTACATGTTCTGATTAATTAGGGTGCAAGGCCCTGGAATAAAATACATATCAAAATACAATAATACAATATAACTATTGCATTAAGGGGATTCGATCCGGTGATTTAATTAGGGGTCGTGTATAGGCAATTCGATGTATTATAGTCGTTTCGCAGTGTTTGTGTGCGAAGTAAATGATCATTAGTATGCGTAGATACGTTCGGAATCAGTGGTTCGCACCCGCATGCACATGTCACATAATAAAATATTTGTTCCAACGAGAAACTAATTTCAATCAATTGAGACCTAAAAGCCTGACAAAAATACGATAACTTAGAATGATCGGATTTTAGTTCTGTAAACATATTTGAATTCATCGTTCTTTTTTCTAGGTTATTGTGGGGGTCGATTTTTGAATAACTGTTTAACTTTTTAAAGAAAGACACAAATAATTTTCAAAAAATTGAGAAATCGAAATATGATTTAACGTGAATTCTAAAAAAAATATCGAAAATTGATTCCCACAATAACCTAGGAAAATTGTCAATGAACTTGAATCTTTTTACAGAATTTAAATCTGATTATTCTAAGTAAGCGTATTTTTGTCAGGCTTTTAGGTCTAAATCATGAAATAAATACGCTGAATCGAATCCCCTTAAACTTTAAAATCAAATATTGTATTATTTAACATTTGACAAATAGGTTACTTGAAAATATATTGATAGTTTAACATCATAATTCATAACTATAAATTGCTACTAGTCACAATGCTGTAAAAATATATTCATCTAACATAATGAAGTATGATGCAATAAGTAATATTATAAAGGCCAGAAAATTATTCTCAAGTAACATTATATTTTAATTTTGAATTATTAACATGTATAAAACAATACAAATAAAATAAAAAATACTGCTTAAAATACTTCAATAAATTTAATATAATTATTAATTAATATAACAGAGATCTAAATGATTTAAAATTTGAGTCTTCATTCTTAGACTGTCTAACAAATAATAATATTAATATTAAACAATGTTTATATTTAATTGAAGGTTATATTAAGTGTTATACTGTTATATATATATATGTGTTCAGGCCTCAAATAGTGTAATTGTAATATTATATAGTTTGACATGTATATAAGACATAAGTTGTAATCAATAAGTTGAGATAACAGATAAATCAAAATTATTTTTGGAATTAATTATTTAAAATTATAAATGTGTAGAGTTTGAGCTTTTAATCCAGTTTTAAATATTTTTATGAATTAAAAAAAAAATTAGATTAAACTAGTCTTACAATATTTTATTAAACAGTGAACTACTATCACAACATTTTTCGTATGTATCATTATTTTTTAAATATCAGTTACTCAACATTCTCGTGTGATTAAAAACTATTATTTATGATAGGATAACTATTAGATAATCGTGTTTTAAAATATTATAAATAGTAGAATATTTTAATGATATGAAAAACAAAGTATGTATCACTGATAATGACTTAAATACTATTAAAATCACTGAGTTTAATGTTATATAAAAACAAAAATTATAAATTTAAATTCAAACTATAAATACAATTTAAGGCAATCTTAAAAATTAGTTTTTTCACATAAAATATAATTAAAAAAGTTTGAAATATTTGGAAAAACTTATTTGTGTGTTATTTTCTACCCAGTAATATTGTAAAAATTCTAAAATACAAAATAAAATATAATATAGGTACTATATAACTAAAAATATATTCATTACAAGTATATTATAAAAATAATCTTATTTTTTTTTAGATATTTTATTCATTGTGAGACACCACATGCATTGAGTTAATATACATTAATTGAAGTCAGAAATAATTATAAAATATACCATCTACCTTCTTCTTATGTTTTTAAATTAAATATTGTTATTGAGTAAAATATTTTAATATTATTTAAATTAGAACAGATAAAAATCCATTATATGTGAACTTATATTAATATTTTATAATTTTAATTTTCTAAATTGCACGTTTTTTTGTACACACTATTAAAAATACATAATTCTCAAATACAAGTATTACCCACAATGTAACCTATTGGTGATTTATGACTTAAAATTGGTCAATAACTAACAATGTTTAATCGCTTAAAAGTGTTCAAATAATAGTAAATCCATACAACTTCATCTTTACTGTTATATTCATAATACAGAGAGAACATTTGTTTGTAAAAGCTAAATAGGCTATCATATAATATGCGGTCTACCAGTGAATTTATCACCGCCAGCCACTAAACAAACTGAAAATTAGAATTTTATTTTGAAAAGTCGAGTTTGACGCTTGAAACATTTTTGACAAAATTGTTGTATGGATACACTAGAATTTTAATTTTTATTATCCAGCATATATTATAGATTGTAATCAATAGTTTCATATTGAAACTAATTGATAATGGAATTATAATTATCATATTTAATAGGTAAATTAAAACAAAAAATGCTTTCTTGTGTAACTGAACACTGACAAATGTTTTTTTAAGCTCAAGGTTTAAATATGTTAGATATAAGACACCTACTTGATAAAAGGAAAAAATATTTCAAAGTGAACTTTAGTATATTTCTCATACATATCATTTTAGATAGAAATTTAGTAGATCTGAAGTCCCAGATGGCCAAATTCATTCTGGATACTAATTTTAGTAATTTTTTATTAAAAACTAAGTATAATTAGTAAAATATATTAAACAAAATTTGATTCAATGTTTTTTTTTCTATATAAATTTTAATAGTAAATTTTACAATATGTAAATCACAAAAATCAAGAAATAATCAAAAACACAATACTAGTTTAAGATATAACAATAAAAATAATAAATGTTATTGTTAATTTAAAGGAATATAGCAAGTAAGATGAATAACTAAACTGATACAGTTGGTTGTACTGGGTTAGAAACTTTCCTATAAACATAATAAATAATAATCATGATACCACAACTCATAATGTACAGTTTAATCTTCCATCATTGTTTGAAAGCTTGATTTTGATTTATTGAGCTTACCTAAATTTATACAGCAAGTCTAATATATTATAGCATAGTTCACACACTTCACGATCGACTGACTTATTCAAAGTAATTGTTTGAAGAATGTCAACACCATTTTCTTCATTGAGCATTGCACAATATTTTTTTCCTAAAAATGTTATAATTATTATACATATAAAAAAATCAAATAAATTGTTTACATTTTGGTGCAAGTTTAGTATATATATATATATAAAATACACTAACCATTTTTAGTACAAACATGAAGTATGGCCCATGCAGCCCAAAGCTGAACCTGTGGTGTATTGATTGATTTCAGTAGCCCAATAAAAGGCTGGAAAGATCTATATGCAACCATTTCTCCCTCAGGTGGCACCCAGTGCTTTACAGTATATCGTAGTTCTTCTAACACTTCAGCTTTATTATTCACAATGTACGTTTCCCAACTAGGTTCACATCCTAAATGAGCAATTATTCCAGCTGCAAAATAGCTTACATCAATTTGTACAGACCGCAACAAACGTCTGCAAGAAATAATTTATATTATATAATTAGTAATGACATATATACATATAACAGATGTACAAAATAAATTGAATCTACTACAGTACCTTAGAGTGGGAATCATATCATTGCTAAATAGCATATTTCTCAAATGTGGTACTTCAGCGATATTATTTAGTAAGCCGAGTACTTTAGTTTCTACAGTACTATCACCAATAAACGTATTTAATATATTCATATATAATGCTAACCCTCCTTCATCAATGAAAACTTTACATGTTGTAGGGGATTCATCTTAAAAATAAAAGTAATGTTAATGAATTAAGCGTTTACTTTTATTTTGAATTGAAATTAAATTATTATGTAAGACATATAGACTTTTTTTATTTTCTTACTCCTGTTATCAATGTAAATAATATTAACACATCTTTCATAACATGCATAAATAAATTTAGTGTATTCAAAAACATCATGTCATATTTTTAAATTATTATTACCAGTCAGGTTCCAAAGTGCGCTTAGTGTGAACTTCATAGTCACATCAATCATTCGAGAAGACAGTTTTTCAAATACTATTGATAACAATTTAGCCATATACCTTGGGTTAGATCCTAATTGAGATGTTTCAGATGTAGAAATTTTTGCAGCTACAAAATATTAAAAATTAAATAAAAAATTTTAATCAAAAATATCTACTCTATTAATCCATGAATAAAAATAGAAAAGCTTTACCTAATATACTGCAGATTGCAACACTCATGCGGTTCATGACGTTATCATTAAAAAAATGTAAGGAATCCAAGACTAATTTTGCACATCTGAACTTATCCATTTTTACATCCTAATATTCACCAACATTTAATATTATTACAGGAAATTTTGATTAAATTTTACAAATTATACAATATATGGGTTGTATACAGTCACAAAAGAGAAGGGATTTTTTTTAACTAGAATATTAGAAATATCTTTCAACCATTAGAGGGAGGGGGAGTCAAACAAAAATGTGCAGGAACATTTTCGTGTAACGAAATAGGCAACTGTTGCTACTAGCAACTGATGCATTTAATTATGTTACCATACCATTTAAGACATAATATCTATGATTCAATGTTTTTCATTAGAACAGACAAAATAGTTTTCTACTAGTCGTTTCATAATATTATACTTCAGCAGTTTAAACAAATTACAAAAATATAATGCACTCAAATGAAAATAATAATACCTAATAATATATTATGTACAGATGATTCAATATTACTGAATAAATGGAAATCGTTAAGCTGTAATATTATTTCAAATTTATAAGTAAAAACTGAAAAAAAGTTTATGTAGATGAAGCCATGTAACTCTCCCTGGTTAAAATAATTAAAAAAATATCCAATATAAAAACCACCATAATATCGTTTAATGAGTTATGATATACATACCTGTAGTATACGATCACTACATAATGTCAACAGCGTATTTTTTTGTAACTGGTTATGATTGGGAAAACGTTCCATGGCATCTAATGTTGCTTCCACTACTTTAGCCAAAACACTAGGATGTATATTTAAAGCTAGATCACTCTTGGTTAAATTATAAAGGCAAGCAGTTGCTGCCATTTGTACTGGGAAACTGTCAGAAAGACAGTTCATCACATTTAAAATTAACTAATACAACAAAAAACAAAATTACAAATAAAAAAGTATTTAAAAATAAAACCATGCTTTTTATTGTAATTTAAATTACTTGGATAATGTCAACTTTTGGGTAGTTATACTTTTCAGTCCATTTAAATAAGTGATAAAGACATTTTTGAATATATGTTGGACGTTTTTTGTAACGTTTCAAGCCAGTTAATAATTGCTCCTCTGTCACAACACCGGTAACCTAAACACATTAATATAAAATAATATTTTTTTTTTAATTATAATTTATTAAAACAATGAAGTGTTGAATTAATAAATCATAGTTTATTATTAATATTTACATAATATAATATATTTAAATAATACTAACTACTAAGTCTCGATTATATAATGGATGAGTGGGAACTGTAAACATGGCCAAACCACAATCATCCATATGCATTAAGCCTAAAAATCTTAACTTTTTATGAGTAGTCAAAAAATCTTGCATGATTCTTGGACCAACATTATCACTTCCTAAAAAATTTAATTCAAGTTTTTAACATTAAGTATTTAATATTGGTACAAATAATATACTCCCATGGTATAAGTAAGTATTAATTTTTAAATAAATCAAAATATAAATCATTAAAATCCTTGGAATAGGTTAAACCTATTAACTTTTACAAATAAATAAATTAAGGATACATATTATGTGTACAAAAAATATGTGATTGAGAAAAATACTTTGTGCCATACACAGTAATATTAAAGATATGGCCTAGCAAGTTAAGATAGTCTACAATACAATAAATTAAAACTAACCAGATATATCCAATGAAACCAAATTGGGTAACCAATCAGGATCAGTCAAGAATTGTGACCAAGGTGTATCACAGCTAAAATTCTCAAACGGATGAGAATATTTTTCAGATGATAAATCCAAATGTGTTAACGATGTCATACATTTGAGTGGACTAAAGGCAATCAAATGCATTGTAGCTTCCTATGATAAAATTAACCAAAAATCAAGATTTTATAATTAAACTTTATACACTCATACACAGTGAAACTTCCATAAAACAAACTTCCATTTAACAACATTTTTATGAAGCAATCCAAATTAGAACTATATTTATTTAATTCTATTTAATACAATTCTCTATGATATAAATTTTATTTATTGCCCACGAGACTTCGTAGTATGCAAGTTTCATTGTACATAATATGTTATACAAACAAATACATTATTAAGTATTTGTAAGTCATATATATATATATATATATATATACAAGGCTGGGCATTAACGAGTTAATAAGTTAAAGTTAAGTTAAAAAGTTAAGTTACTTTTAACTAAGTTAATTAACGAGTTAATTTTTTTTAGAAGTAACTTCTAACTTAACGATTTACATTTATCCCCATGTTATTCAGTAACTTAACGAGTTAATTAATTTTATTGGCACGTTAAGTTAATTTTTTCCCAAACCACATATTATTTAAAATTAATTCAATTTTGTAAAATTAATTACATAAAAAAAAACCCGAAATATTAAATATATTTTATTAAATAATAATTTATAATAATAATAGTAAGTTTTTATATTGCATATTCACAGAAAATATTTTATAACTATATTTTTAGAGGGAAATATCATAGAGATGACTATAACCGCGTCAAAGAAAAATATAACAATTTACTCAGTACCTATCCCATAAACGACATATCACCTAACCTATACATAATCATTATTAATATCATTACTTAATTATATTTTTATTCATTCATAGAATTACGGTGATAACTTGGCCCGTCGATGTAAATAATACCCGTAGTAGCGTGGTATTTACTATTTAACTAATTAAAGTATAACACACAAAATTAAAATAATTACCTACAGTAACTAATTTTATTACAAACATTTATTCAAATATTGTAAGACATTTTTTGATTTATTGAATTATTATGTTATTTGTTAGCTTTAAAAAAAGTAGGTAGGTATAATTGTTAATTTTATTTTTAAAAAAAAGTAACTTATTTTTAACTAAGTTAAGTTACTTTTATTTTCTAATTAACTTGTAACTTTTAAAAGTTAAAAAAAAATGAAGTTAACTTTTAACTTTAAACTTAACTTACATTTTTCTATATTAACTTAACTTAACGAGTTAAAAAAAATAGTTAACTTGCCCAGCCTTGTATATATATATATATATATACCTACAGATTTTATGAATATATATATACAGAGGGTTGCATGATAAATGTGTCAAACTTCTAGAGGTGTTTCTACACCTCAAATGAAACAAAAAAAAGTCCTTGTGACCATAGTCAATTTATCAATAATAAGGGTGATAATTTCCATGTTTGTGTTTTTTTGTTAAACCCAAGTTTGATTCATAATAATGTTCATATCTGCTAAACCATAGATACTACAATTAATTTGAATACATTGATGAAAAGCTCATAAAATTGGGATTAGGAAAACATATTTTACAAGGTTCCCACCAGATTTTTTGGGTAAAAAGAATAACACACATTTTTTATAACTTTAAAATGTCAAAATTTAAAAAAATTCAGTTTTATCCTACAACTTTTTTTTAAAGCAGGTGGGTGCAAATTTCAAAAAAAACTTCAAAATGTTATAAGCTTTTCAACAGTGTACTCGATTTTTTCGTCTAACCTTTCTGAAGGGTCGCTATTCCACCTAATGTGTGGAAAACGTAAACGAATTCTAAGCAATAAATACAAAACCTGGTAAACTGATTTTTTTAAAATTTCGACATTTTAAAGTTATAAAAAATGTGTGTTATTCTTTTTACCCAAAAAATCAGGTGGGAACCTTGTAAGATATGTTTTCCTAATCCCAATTTTATGAGCTTTTCGTCAATGTATTCAAATTAATTGTAATACCTACGGTTTAGCATATATGAACCATTAATATGAATCAAACAAAAAAACACAAACATGGAAATTATCATCCTTATTATTGATAAATTGACTAAGGTCACAAGGACTTTTTTGTTCCATTTGAGGTGTAGAAACATCTCTAGAAGTTTGACACATTTATCGTGCAACACCCTGTATATATTGTAAATTAAAATTGGAATTACTTTTTTTACTTTTTAGTTATTACTAACTTAATTATTGTATTAAATTATTTATAAAACCTTGGATAAAACTTGTTTGTTACAAAACTATTATTTTTCTTCTTAAGCTATGTTAATAAAAACAATTTGTTATTACCTTTAAATTGTACACGCTTAATTTTTTTAATTGGTTTTTCTTCTTTACCAAGGGTGAAAGCGTGTCAACTTTTGTATTAGAAATATCTAATGACTCCAAATGAGGCAAATCTTCAACCACAGCAATTAAATTGTTGGTACTAAACTCAGTATTACTTACATCAAGTGAACGTAGGTTTTTTAATTTTGATAATGAGACAGCTACACAAAATTTCATGTCACTAAAAAACATATAATAACAAATAAATAATATATAATAATTTGTGACAAAAAAAATAACACCTACTTAAATTTTTTTTCGCTATATTTCATAAAAAAAATGATTAAATTAAATTATCAATTATTCTTTTAATATTAAACTAAACATGTATTAAAGTCTTTAACCAAGAACTTACTAAGAATCACTAATGAATGAACTATTGGAGACACACAGTGATTCTAAATTCTGTGTCGTCCATTCACCTAATAAACCAACGAGTTCATTTACTGGACAGTCCAAACCATAAACTTTTAGTTTTTTTATTTTATGCTTTCTTAATGTTCTTAGTCCTTTGGTAGTCAAATTTTTTGTTTTTGGTAGTATGACATTCCTAAAAAAATATAAAATTATAATATAGATAATAATAATATCATAATTATATAAAAATAATACTAGGTAATAAATTTGATTTGAAATAGGTAGCTAAAATATTTTAATATATTTTAAACATGTAACACATTTTTGGTTTTGATCATTTTTAATAATATTTACTAGGTATTATATTTTATAACATCAGAGATCATTTCTTATCATGAATAATTCAATTTTTCATTATTATAAAAGGTTAGGTACCTATAAATACAAATTAACTGTTATCAACAAATTATATAATATAGGTATTATATACAACAAAATTAGCCATTATACGTCTTACCGTCTTGACAAATTTTAGTAGATACCTAAGTGGCTGATGCCGAGTTGCATTAAAAATTTATTAATTTAATAGACCAACCATGGGCCACTAAATCATGTTTAAGGAACCATTAGCTCACAATTGATTTGTTAAATGTTAAGTGATTGTTCTTGCAAACCAGCATACCTAAGTGTGTTACCTTTACTTATTAAATTAAAAAGTGCCTAATGTCAAAACAGAAAGAATTTCACTGTGTATAAATTAATTAATTTAGGTAATTAACTACTATTACATTGAAAAATTCAATATTTTTATAACCCAATAAAATAAAAGCTTTGTTTAAAAAGTAGTACCTATCTTTTCTCATTTATTAACAACAGAGAGTAGGTATTCATAAAGTAATAGGTACCTAATTATTTATAATGCTGTACTTCTACAGAAAAAACCAAAAAATGTCAACAAACCTCAAATAGACATTTTTATGACTGAATAGTGATAGTGTTTCATCATTAAGTTTATTCCGTACACTAAGTTTTGTCAACAAGATCTCTGACACCTCCATTGGCAAGTATACATTGCTGTCTAAGAACATATACTTAGGTTCAGAAGGCTGCAGGTCAGTTTCACTTATATATTGCTCTGCCATATAAAATTGTTCAATGTTGTCGCAGACATAGTCAATGCACAAATCCTTCAGTGTTTCAGGATTGGCGTACATCACGGATAAAAAAATCTCTTGTACCTAGTTTAAATATAAAAATAATAACAATCACGAAAAAATGAATTTAGTACGATGTTACGTTAAGCCCTTAATGTTAACCGATGGGTTCTCAAAAGTTAATACGAAAGTTACATTATTATACTATGAAAGTCAGCTGATTTAACATGTTAGACGAAGACTGAAGACTGAATAACAGTCAACAATATTTTGATCATTTAATAGGTATTGTAGTATTATCACTAATCTGTGATATTATTATCTTTTCGGGAAACGCAGTCATAGGCACGATTAAAGATAGTACTATCTTTAATCGTGGTCATAGGACTGGAATCGACACGGTCGAGGGGTAGTGGTAGTAGTAGTGGTACTGTGGTAGTAGCATAGAACAATAGTAGTAGGCTGGTCGTCAAATGTTTCTAATGGTACAGGTATTGTTGCTAGCGCATTCTTGTTGATTTTATTGGCAACATACTAAAATAATTATTTTTAAATATTAATATATTGTAATCTATTATTAAAATTGTATTTTTAGTAACCTAGACCTATAGTGGCTAGTATATTATTTTGTAGACGTGCCATCGCCCATCAGTCTTAACTTAAAGTCTTAACTGTAAAGTGATTTAACTGTCTATAACATGTTCAAAGTTCGTGACTCTGATTTTTATTCTTGGAACGAAATTGTACGGAAAATAAATGGTAATTCAGTCAGAGAGACTATATGTCTGTGCTGCAGATTTTTCTAATGCAGATTTGATTACTACTTTTAATGAACTTAATGATTTGAAAAAATTAAAATAAAGCGTTTTATATAATTCCTTTTTTTATTTTTATAAAATATACACTGTTGGTTATTTATATTTATCTATGTATAGTGTATACCATATGTTTTTAAATTAAGTTTGATTTAATAAACCAAAATTTTAGTAAGTTGTTGTGCCCGGTAATAATACCAATCAGTAAAATTGTGGTCTTAAAGTATTAAGTCATGGTAAATGGTAATAGTTAGATATTATTGTTTTCAGTCATAAAAAATCTTAAATTTTAAATACATTGCGATTGCATTGAATACTACACAAATATATTATTAATCCTAATAGTATCATATCTAACCACATATAGTCACTCATGTGATATCACAACATTTTTCAAACTTTAAATTTTGGTTCAGTCATTTTTTACTTCAGTCATTTTTACTAAGCATCAAGTATATATACTTATAGTTATTAAAGTAATTAATGTTAATTTAATATTTATTTGTAATTATTTTAGAGAAAACATCAAATTAAAATAATTAAATAATTTTAGAACCAGTGTACTATGAAATATGAATAGGTATTATGAAAATTGAGTACCTATTGTCTAATTCCTAACACAGATAGCGCTAGGTACTACACATGTACCATAGACATATTAATATGTCTATGACATGTACCTCTAGAAACATTTGGTGATTACAACTGTGTTTTCGATACCAGTCCTGAATATCTTAGGCCACGGGGCACGGACTAAGATGTCTTAAGTTCGTGGCCTATCGATTCTTTAATATCCACATTCAGATATAAATGATATAATTATATCTTAGTCCGTGAGATAGGCCATTTATGATTATCACACGGGAATTAACACGAAATCAAGGTAAATCCACCTTGCATGAAATTATAGAGGTATTATTGTTACCGGAAATGTTGACATTTAGGAAATGATGACAATTCCTAGTAAATGTTGACAATTCCTAAAATCGGAAGGAAATGATATCATCGCCTAGTATATGTTATCATTTCCTAACGATAGTAGGCAAAGATGCCACATTTTAGATTCTGAGCGGAGCGATGAATGTATTGGTTTTACAATGATGTATGTTTTTATATTTTTTTATTTTTATATTTTTTTATTTTTGTGTCTGTCATCACGTTTTAGGACAGTAAAAGTGCTTGGATTTTCTTCATCAGTAGCTTTTCTGATAGGAAAGTGAATCTAGTTGGTACTTTGGGGGGTCAAAAGTATAAATTTCCCAGTAGTTTTCACAAGCGCCGGGAAAAACAACATAAAAATTAAGGAAAAACGGGAATTTTTACGCAAAATTGGTTTTCCAAAAAATCGATTTTGGTTATTGGTGTAACTCTAAAACAAATGAACGTATATACATGAAATTTTCACTGGTTGTTTATATTTGCATTCTCTATACACGATAACATTTTCAAAATATTTAATTTATTTTGAACTGTTTAGGGACATTTTCATTTTCCATTTTTTTTTAGTTTTTTTTCTAAAAATATCAATAAAATTTTGCCACAGTGGTGCTATTTATTTGTTGTCATTCAACATACATAATTAATTAACGTATTATTTTACATTGTCAACCAATAAAAATGATAAAATAATAACAACATTTATTAGGGTTAACAAAGTCATAAATTAACAAATTTACTAACATACATTTAAGTTGTGTTACCTACATTGTAAAATAATCATAATTAAATACTCTTTATTGTGAAAGCTTATTTTTATCTACAATTGTTCAATGTGAGTACCTATGTGACTCCCGATGCACTTTCGATCCAACGATGTAATGAATTTCAAGTTTATTCCAACAAATTTGGTGTTTGACGAATGATATCAGCTACCTATATTATTAATTCTCATCAAAAGTTCATCTCTATTATTATTTATTTAGGTAATTCTTTGGAAATTTGGCATAAACATGTTCTTTCTGAATATTCAATGTTAATGTACTCCATTGTTCAAAATGTAAATTTAAAATTTGAATCTTAAGAACAAATTTAAAGTGTTGTTAAATATCAAGTATCGAACTCAGCTATAGGCTATAATCAAATCAACTAATATTCTTTATTTAAAAATTACGGTCTATTAGTTATTTTTTAATAGACATTACGGATAAAAGTTGCCATATTTTATTACCTGTACATCTAAATCACACAAATCAATGAATGTCATTAAATTCGATCATTTAAAACTTTGTTAACCCTAATTTTGTTATTATTTTATCATTTTTATTGGTTGACAATGTAAAATAATACTTTAATTAATTGTGTATGTTAAATGACAACAAATAAATATCACAACTGTTTATCTTGTTGTGTTCTCATACAAATCGATGTGCCACACCATTTTTTTTTAGTTGGCGATTCGAGCGTGAAAAACGCGAGATAAGCACGAAAATGATTTGACACCTCGATTCTTATGAGAATTTTTCAAAAAATACAACTTGACCATTTATTTTTACATTTAAGATAATGTTCTATTAATAATTTGTATAAGCCCAGATTTTGAATATAGAAAAAAAATTCAAAAAAATCTTCATTGGGCCATAACACTGAGTACGCTTATACTAGTTAGTAGTTACCTCAAACAATTCAGAAACACCCATTATGATTTTACCTCTGCTAAAATGATAGACAATGATAAAAATAGTCTTTCTTTCTTCCCTATTAGGCTATATTGTTATCCAATATCCATGGCCTCAGGCCTATCCATTCTTTAATATCCATCACGATGTAGAGAAAAGAAGGGTGATACCACTTCCCTATCTGGCTATCTCAAGATGTAAAAAACGGATGGCAAAATGTACGGCAAATTCAGGAGTTCGAAAATCTCTCAACAGAGTACGCCACTATTCGCCCGGGGCCTATTTTATTTCAAGTTGTACCTAATGCATATTATAAATTAATTATTAAATATGTAAAAATGTATTTGAAATGTAAATAATATACAGTTCATAATAATATGAATTCAAAATATTGGTGGAATACCTATATATATTATTATTTTATAGATATAAACCAAGCTAATACCATTATACTAAATTATTACTTATTACATTGTTAAATAAGCAGTTATTGAACATTAAATTGAACAAATTAATACAATTTTAACTATTAGTAAATTAGTTTATTTATTTGTAAATAAGTTATTGATATATTTTAATATAATAATAATTATATGTTTCCGATAGTTATATTTAAATTATTTATAAATAGGAGTTCGATACTCAACCTATATATTATAATATCTCAAATTGCTTGCTTACATAAATTATATAAATTATCACTCTAAGAAATATTTTATAATTAATATTTGTAAACATTGCCCCATCTGCATGACTATTGAGTATTGAGTATTGACTGCATACGATTATAGTATATTATGGCCGCTAGTCATTAATTTGAAGAGAGTATAATATACTAATATAGATGTAATTAGTTAGCAGCTAACTAGTATAATATAGTTAGGTAATTTACAATAGTGCATCCAAAATGTTATTTCAAAAATGTAATTATTTTCAAAAAACGGAATTAAAAAATTATTTTGGGACTATATATAACATACACTGTATGGTAGCTGTAATAGTTAATTTTGGTATTTTACATAGCATGTATCGCTCTAATATACTTATATGTAGGACTGAGGACAAAAAAAAAACTTAAAATATCTATGCACATATGCCAGTATGCCACATATAAAATAATTATTGTTCATACAAATCACAAACAAAGCCGTTCGGCTTTTTGAAGGGTTAAATCTGATTAGTTACGAGCTTATTACATTACAATATTCTTTGTTTATTAGTATTATCTTTGCCTTAAATTCATAAATAAGCGTACCTACCTATACCCTATAGTTTTTTTTTACGAAAACACCACTGCCTATAATCTCTATAATATTAGACAAATTAAGAGCATAATAATATTATATATTATATGTACAAATTTGGAAAATTTATTTAAAATATATAATACAAGTTTATACAACACAGGTACGTAATATATAAAAACAATAAAAAATTTATTATTTTCCGAATTTCTTCCACAGAGTATAGTTTGCGTGTCTACGGTCAACCTATAGCCATATAATATTATGGGTTACGTAGTTTAGTATTTACCAAAATATAACTATTTTGCCATGTTATTTAATATCTGGCTGATAACATCGCAATGCGTGTAGAATTGTAGGAAGTAAACTTCAGTTAAGTTGTTTGT